GTCCTAATAAAGATGAGTTTTTAAATGCCAGTACTTTTCTCTCATAGACTTATGTTGTGTCATTACTCTTTATATACTTTCTATCTTGTTTTAAGCAGTAGCCAGCCATATAGCCTCAGAAAATGTACGGTATGTGCCTGTGTATATGCCTTCAAGTTGCCTGTTGACTTATTGCAACACTCAATTTTGTTGGCTTTTCTTAAGCAAAAAATATTCAGAGGTGATTTTGCCAGTTCTTTCCTCTGAAATAACCTACAGCACCTTGCATTTGTTGGTGGTAAAATCCAAGACTGACCCTGCTTAGCTTTCAAGCTCAGATAGGATCTGATTCCTGGAAGATAATAGTGAAACCCATCTTAATAGCTGAACATCATCATCTAATATTTAGATGTATGCTACTGCTAAACATAGCAGTTCCATTAAATTATAACGGCTAATAGCCACTAGCACACTTCTTCTGTATGAATATTCCCCTTCTTTAAATTTCTCAATCTGAACTATTTTCCACTTGAACTGATTCCTACAAAATAAGAGATCTCTTACTTATAGGTAACTTAGAACTCAAATTCTGTTAATACAGCCTGTAAAAGTTACAAACCACTTTAACTTTCCCATCTCTGCACACATACTTATAGCAAGTATTTGTGGTCCCATAAAAGGGTGGTGGTGGTTTAGTAAATATTCAGCACTTAAAGTTATTTCCATTTAAATCTAATATTTTCATTACTCATTCTTTATATTGCCAAAACATTCACATCTTCTACATATAAAACTTTGGCAGGTTAAAAAGGTGCTTTTCTGTTCAAATGTTTTTTTAAAAAAAACAAATCCTTGCACTTTTTTGTCGCACGAACAGTTTGCTAAAATGCTAAAAGTTATATCTATGTGATTTTTTAAAAAAGAATACTCCAAAGATAAAGAAATTTGATGTGTAAGTGATTGCAATGTTTTCATATTACACCACAGTTAAGCAACGTATGAACTAAGCAGTCGGCATTTTAAAACTCACCCAAGTTGCACAAAAGTAATTTCCAGCATTATTCTCACACTGGTTCAGAAACCCTACTTTCACCAAGCTACATTTCTTCCAATCTGCTTTGCAAACTGCCATACTTTGGATGCCTGATACCGGGTTTCATGGTTCCTGTCCATGATGAGGCACAACGTCACATTGGCAACATGCAATCAGAGAAAAGCTTTAGGACTGAAAGGGCTGAACCCTGATGGGGGTTGTGCCAAAGGTTTAAGGAAATGAACTGCAGTGTGCTCCTGAAGCCAGGGATGGAAGTATCTTGAAGGAAACAGAAAGCATGGATGTGGTACATAACAGCAGTGCCAATCCAAATATGTTTTGGTGCTATTTATTGGCCTGCTGAAAACAACAAAAAATAATACCAGTTCTCCAGTTCACTTTCTGAAAGGTTGCTGAATGTGTATCTTCTCCATGAAACTGTCCCTTTAGCCTTCTGACAGGGCACAAAAGCACAGCAGTGCCTTTAAAAGGGAAAGTCAGAAGATGGCCTGGTATGTAGACAAAAGAGTTCTGAAGGGCATTTGAATGACTTTAAGCCATCACTTTCCAAACCGTGTGTTGTCTGGGAACCGTGAAAAGTTCGTTGTTGGGTGCAGTGTGAAGATTTGTTGCGTGAATTAAATCAGGACAAAAATCTTGGAAATGTATGTTTTTATTTTACAAATCATATTTTGATCATATAAAATAAAGGTTTTCATGAGTTATGTTGTGTCCCCATCCATTTCAATATCAGAAGTTATGTAGGTGTTGGTAGGGGTTGTTTAAGCTCCCGTTTGCTAGTAACACTGAATGACCATGTGGCAAAATGACGCAGTATGTCACCAGCATAAAAAGCTGGGAAACCTCTATTTGAAACCAAGATGCTACAAGTGTGACATGAACTTCAAATGTTCCCAGAGCTTTCCAAACAGTGTCGTGACATGTTCATATGTCGGATGCAGTGTGTAGGTGTGCCATGCGAACAAAATGAGAACAGAGAAAAATCTTGGAAATGTATATTGAAAGATTTCCATGAGTTATGTTGTGTTCCCATTGAGTTCATTATTAGAATTTAGGGAGATATCTCTTATAAGGGCATGGTTTGAGTCTCCTTTGTGGAGAGAAAAAGTGGGGTATAAACATAATAGTAATAATAATAATAATAATAATTGCTTGAACCTCAGTTCTGAATGACTGTTGTGAAATGATGCACATCTAAAAAGCATATGTTTGCAAAAAAATGTATGTTTTTCATCTTTTAAACCGCCCTGAGTTGCCCTTGGTCTGAGAATGCTGGTATAGATATATTATAACTAAATAAATAAATATTACAAATCATATTATTAAAAACGTAAATGAATTTTTTGTGAGATATGTTGTGTCCCCATCCATTTCATTATGAGAATATATATAGATGTCAGTATCTCTTATAAGGGGTTGTTTAACATCCAGTTTGCTAGCAACACTGAACGACTGCGTGTAAAACTGATGCAGGTCGAAAAAGTGTCACCAGCACGAAAGTTTAGAAAGTCCTCTTTTAGATCCTACAAGTGTGACATGAACTTGAAATGTTCCTAATGAATAGTGTAGCCAGAGCTCTCCTGTGTTGTGACACATTTGTGCATTGACTGCAATGTGTTGCACAAATGAAACGAGAATGGAGAAAAATTTTGGAAATGTATGTTTTGATCTTGCAAATAATTCGTGTGTGTGTGTGTGTGTGTGTGTGTGTGTGTGTGGTTTTCATATGTTGTATCCCCATCCATTTCGTGATTACAATTTATGTAGGTATCTCTTATAAGGGAATGGTTTAAACTCTGTTTCGAGAGTAAAAAAACATCTGAACATGCCAGCCACCAATGCAGGTGAAACGTCAGGAGAAACTGCTGCTAGAACATGACCATACAGCCCTGAAACCATACAACACCCAAGTGATTCTGGCTGTGAAAGCCTTCAACAACACAAAAACGGAATGACTGTATCCTGAAATGATGCAGGTCTAAAAAGTATGCCACCAACATAAAAAGTTTAGAAAGCCCTGTTTCCGATGCTACAAGTGTGACACGAACTTGAAATGTTCCTAATGCATAGTGTAGCCCAGAGCTTTCCAAACTGTGTTGGGACACATTTGTGTGTTAGCTGCAACATGTTCCGTGAATGAAATGAGAATGGAGAAAAATCTTAAAATATAAATAAAAATGTAATGTTCGTTTGTGAGATTAACAGAACTCAAAAACCACTGGACAAATTGACACCAAATTTGGACACAAGACACCTAACAACCCAATGTATGTCCTTCACTCAAAAAAAATTGATTTGGGAGATGTAGTTGCTGGGACCAAGACCTTCGGGCAATCTGCTAACTAGATAAGGACAACCAGACGAATAGGACTGACAGGACTGACAATTGTGGAATTGGAATTTGAACTATGAGATAGCGAACGCTGACCGGCAATAAGGAGTAATTGGTTTGTATTGGTTTGTATGGATTTTTATTGGTCTTATTGGTTTTATCGGTTTATAGATGTAATGTATAATTGTGGTTTGATTGCTAATTTATGCTATTTTGTTTTATTACTGTTGTATGATACGGGCATCGAATTGTGCCTTGTTTTTTTAAGCCGCCCTGAGTCCCCTTCGGGGTGAGAAGGGCGGGGTAGAAGTAACCGAAATAAATAAATAAATTCTGGGGATTTATAGTTCACCTACAATCAAAGAGCATTCTGAACCCCACCAACGATGGAATTGAACCAAACTTGGCACACAGTTCTCCCATGACCAACAGAAAATACTGGAAGGGTTTGGTGGGCAGTGTCCTTTGGTTTTGGAGTTATAGTTCACCTACATCCAGAGATCACTGCGGACTCAAACAATGATGGATCTGGACCAAACTCTACACGAATACTCAAAATGCCCAAATGTGAACACTGGTAGAGTTTGGGGAAAATAGAAACTTGACATTCGGGAGTTGTAGTTGCTGGGATTTATAGTTCACTTACAATCACAGAGCATTCTGAATCCCACCAACGATAGAATTGGGCCAAACCTCCCACACAGAACCCCCATGTGGCAGGGGACAGCATATATATATATATACCTGTTTTGCAAGTAAAAATCATCTAGAGATGCCAGCCACAGATCCAGGCAAAACGTCAGGAGAAAATTCTGCTAGAACATGACCATGCAGCCTGGAAACCACGCAACATCCTAGTAATTCTGGCTGTGAAAGCCTTCAATACAAAAACAGAATGTATCGTGAAATGATACAGGACTGAGAAGTGTGTCGCCAGCATGAAAAGTTTGGAAAAGCCCTGCTTTCGATGCTACAAGTGTGACGCGAACTTTAAATACTCCTAATGAATGTATAGTGCATACTTTCGCCATGAAACCACTCCCTTTCCATTACCCTGCTTCAGACATCCTCACTGTCACTGCTCTGAGAAGGAATCCAGCAAAACCCAGCTGAACTAGAGACCCTAAGCTCTGCTCTCCTCCTTGGACTGCTTTTGTTGTGGGTAGACACAAGGGGCATCCCTGAAGTATATATTATTCCTCGAAGGGAAGTTCCGGATAATGAGGATCCTGTCAGTGTGAAGGAGGAGGAGGCACGCCCATGACTCAGGGGCCCAGAGGCAGAAGGAGCCCTTCTTTCTCTTTCTCTCTGTGTGTGAGGCAAGTCCAAGCAGAGCAACAGCTGGAAGGGAAAGGGAGGGAAGGAAGGGAAGAGCCCGGAGGCGTGTTTGGACGCTCAGGCTCCAGAGAGGAAGAGGCGAGGAAAGAGACGCTCGCGAGGAGGGAGGGAGGAAGGAAGGAAGCGAGGCAGATGTGCCTGCAGCTGGAACAAGGAGGGGGGGGAGCGGAAGGGAAGGGAGGGCGCGAGGATGCTAGTGTGTTGTCCCCTCATCATCCGCCGCTTCCTCTCCCCTCACAAAAGCTCTGAGGAAAGACCCCCCCCGCACCCCACATGCCCCCTCCCTCCCTCCCTCACCTTGCTCCGGATCTGCCCCGAGGTGGAGACTTTGCGGATGAGCTTCTGGGGCGCGCCCTCGTGCTCCCCTTCGCTGTCCGAGGACTCTTCTCCCGCCGGGTCGCCCGGCCCCGCCTCGGCCATCTTCCGCCCGCGAGGCGAGGCGACGCCGCCGCCAGCCAAGGAGCCGGGCTCCGGCTCCCTCTCCCTCACTCTCTCCCTCGTGGTGAAGCTCCTCCTCCTCCTCCTTCCCGGGGCGGGGACGGGGGATCAAAGCGGCGAGGAGGGGCCGCCACAGACAGGCTCAGTCCTGCCCGCCCACCGCGACGCCGCCGCCATTTTCCGCCGCCTCTTTCCTCCTCCTCCTCAGGAGGGCGCGCGCGAGCCAGCTCCCCTCCAATTGCCCCCTCCCCGCCCAAACTGAAGGAGCGCGAGCGGGCAAAGCAAACACCGTCCTCTTGTGTTTGCTCTCAGAAGCAGCTGCGAGGTTCAGGGGCGCGCGCGCGCTCTCTGAACACGAGCCTTTCCTCTCGCGCTGAGGGGAGAGGTCCCTCTTATTTATTTAACGTGTTAAGAGCAGACCAAACAGTTGCATTGCATTTTTAAACAAACAGACAAACAAACAAAGCACAAAGTTTGCAAGCTTGGTAGTTAATTAAAAGTGCTGTTCCAGCAGTCACCAGCCATCCCCTCCCCAATGCCAGAGATACAGCTTAATGGTGTAACATTACAAAATGTTGACCATTTCCGCTACCTTGGCAGCCACCTCTCCACCAAAGTCAACATCGACACCGAAATACAACCGCCTGAGCTCTGCGAGTGCAGCATTTTCCCAAATGAAGCAGAGAGTGTTTGAGGACCGGGACATCTGTAGGGATACCAAGGTACTTCTTTATAAAGCTATTGTCCTCCAGGCATGTAGCGGGGAGGGGGGGGCTCGGGGGGCTCCAGCCCCCCCCCCCCGAAATTCTCATGGTGGTTCGCGAAAAGGCCTTACTGGTGCATTATTTAAACTGTTATGTTTATTCATATCATGATCTGATCACCATACTCAATATATCCCATATGCATGGGGGTATTGGGGTAATGATACAAAAGGTTTGCTAGGGTAGACTCTCTTTCACTCAGACTCAGCCCCCCCCCCCCGAATCAAACTCAGCCCCTCCCCCACAGGGATACCAAGGTGCTTGTCTATAAAGCTATTGTCCTCCCAACCCTGCTTTATGCCTGCGAAACGTGGACTGTCTACAGATGTCACATGCAACTCCTGGAACAATTCCATCAGCGCTGCCTCTGGAAAATCCTGCAAATCTCTTGGGAAGACAATCAGACAAACGTCAGCATGCTGGAAGAAGCAAAGACCACCAGCATTGAAGCAATGGTCCTCCGCAATCAACTCTGCTGGACCGGCCACATTGTCCGGATGCCTGACCACCGTCTCCCAAAGCAGTTGCTCTACTCTGAACTTAAGAATGGAAAACAGAACGTTGGTGGACAGGAAAAGAGATTTAAAGATGGCCTCAAAGCCAACCTTAAAATCTCTGGCATAGACACTGAGAACTGGGAAGCCCTGGCCCTTGAGCGCTCCAGCTGGAGGTCAGCTGTGACCAGCAGTGCTGCAGAATGAGGAGGCACGAGTGGAGGGTGAAAGAGAGAAACGTGCCAGGAGGAAGGCGCGTCAAGCCAACCCCGACCGGGACCGCCTTCCACCTGGAAACCAATGCCTTCACTGTGGGAGAAGATGCGGGTCAAGAATAGGGCTCCACAGCCACCTACAAATCCACAAGGAAACGCATCATGGAAGACCATCTTACTCGTCCAACGAGGGATCGCCTAAGTAAAGTAAGTAATTAAATGTCCTTTGACCAGTAGCTGACCACTTGGAGTGCCTCTGGTGTTACTGCAAGAAGGTCCTCCATTGTGCATGTAGTAGGGCTCAGGTTGCATTGCAAATCTTCTGACCTTTTGTCTGCATCTATGGCAGGCATCCTCAGAGGCTTGTTCAGAGGTCTGTGGGAATGAGGCAGGTGGGGTGTATATATACCTGTGGAATGTCCAGGGTGGGAGTAAGAACTCTTGTCTGCTTGAAGCAAGTGGAAATGTTGCAACTGGCCAGCCTGATTAGCATTGAAAAGCCTTGGAGTTTCACAGCCTGGCTGTTGGTGCCTGCCATAGATGCAGGCGAAAAGTCAGGAGAGAATACTTCTAGAACATGGCGATGCAGCCTGAAAAACGTACAACAACCTACCAATGGAATTGCTAACCCAGCAGATGGAATAATTGTGAGCTTCTCACTCTCTTCCTCAATGCTAGAGGTTTGAGAACTGGTGGAAAATTTCATCGGAGCAGGCAGAGTTCCTAATGGGAGCAAAGCCTCCATTTTCCCTTCTGCTGCAGATACACTCCTGCATACATGCAGAGTACATTATTTTGAGTATTTTTTAAAAAAATAACACCTAGTAGCCTAATCTATTCAAAGGTATCAGCTGTCATGAATAAAACGCCCATCAAATTCTACCAAAGTGACCACAGATTTACTACTTAAGTAAGACAGTACAAAGCCCATGGTTATTTGGAAAATAACAATCAACCTCGGAAATTACCCGAAATGCCCTGCTACTACAGATGAGACTAGTTACTCTTGCAGTTTGATAAAGACAGACTGCTAGCTGCTCCCTAAGAAGTATAATAAGTGGAGAAAAAGCTGGAGCAAAGGAAGAGGCGTTTGGCAATGTAGACTGAAAAAGAGATAGGGAAACACTTTCCTTTTTAGTATCAGAATAATACTGTTTCCTGTAGTGGTTTGCAGTCCAAATGAGAGAAGCGTCCCTTGCTGACAGATATTTGTTTTGGAGTTAAAAGAGCATCCGGAGAGATAGCTTACCCAATAAGGTACAATGACGTAACAAATAGAGAGTGTAAACTCCAAGTAACCCCCATGTGGTTTCTGTCAGGGTGAAAATGAGAGTAGATAGCAACTAAAGAAATACCAAATCCATTTCCCTTTACTTTGCCGATCACTCATTAAAGTGCCTTTGCATTTAATGGACAGTACACGGAAAGACATAGGTTCATTTTGTATTTAATATTTTGTTGTTGTTAATCGTCTTCAGTTTGGCTTCGACTTATGAGTGAGAGACCTCAGTGACATCTGTTATTACAGCCGTGCACTGATCTTATGGGCTCCGGGGAGTGACTTCTGTTCCTTGCCTGCCTGACACTTTTTTGTGCATCATCGTCATTTCTAATTAATGATACTGTCTTATGAAATGTCCACAGTACAGCAGCCTTTAGTCATCTTGACTTCTTTTTCCTCGAACTTATTTATTTGTCTTTGCAGGAGTCCATGGTATTTGTTGAGCACTCTTCCAGCACCACATGTCACTTGAGTTGAGTCCCTCAGCTCTTCTTGACTGTCCAACCTTAACAACCATACACAGAAATAACAAGAAGACAACTTAGCAGAAATACAAATAATCATATATCCACATACATAATGGGAAGAGGGGAGAAAGTGAAGTGTCCTCTGCCATGTGGCCATCAATACTACAAATGAGGGATTTTTTCTGAAAGCAAGCTCACATATAGATGAGTTCAATCAGTGTACAGCATCACGGGATGGACTCACAATGTGTGTGCTGAGTGTGGCACTAATGAGGCAAATGTTTAAAACTGTTCTTTTAAATTGTTCCATTGTTTTCATGATCTACATCAGGGGTCCCCAATCTAAGGCCCTCCAAGATCATTTACACTGCCCACACCCTAACAGACCTCAAGACTGAGATTATTTGAAAGCACACAAGAACAACCATCCTAATTAACAAAATATCTCATCAGCAAAAGCAGACCCACACTTCCCATTGAAATACTGGTAAGTTGATGTTGGTTAAAATGTTATTCATATTAAATACTGTATTGTTCTTTCATTTATTTTCTGCACTGCGAATAAAATATGTGCAGTGTGCATAGGAATTCGTTCATGTTTTTTTTTTCACACTATAGTCTAGTACCCAAACCGGCCCTCAGTTTAAAAAGGTTGAGGACTCCTCATATACCTAAAAAAAGGGATGATTGTGGGGATAGAGATTTTCCAGTCTCTTTTAAATTATGTTCAGCATTGTTCCAGATTATTTCATTTAATTCTGATTCTTGATTCAGTCTAGTGTCATCTAGAACTGCTGAATTTCTACATATCTTGAGGACAACAGGTTGGAGAAGGCTGCTTGAGGAATTCTGTTATGAGAGCAACCAGTGTAGGTTTCCCTAGGGCAAGATATCTTTATAATTGACCAAAGTACATTCTTAATCTTTCTAGCCATTAAGCTATAGCAAAAGAGGCATGCACAACTCATTGACATTTTTTGTTCTTATCTCCTGCCACTACTACACAACAACAAAAGAAGGGCTCTCTACCTTCTTTTCATGTGATGCATTGTAGTGGTTTAAGCATTGGACTATGACTCTGGAGACAAGAGTTCAAATCCTCGCTCAACCACTGGGTGATCATGGGCAAGTCACTCATTCTCAGCCTCAGAAAAAAAGCAAAGACAACCCCTCTGAACAAGTCTTGCCTAGAAAACCCATTGATAGGTTCACCATAGGGTTACCATATGTTTGAAACAACCTGAAGGCACATAGCAACTAAGGTCATTCTGAACTGAATAAGTGTAACTTGAATCAAAGAGCCACAGGAATACATCTTAGGTTTTCAAATAGGAATAGTTTAGATATGTCTTATTTTGATTTAATTACAAGCTACGACCAAAGTCAACACCACTGGCTTTTGTGATCTATCTATCTATCTATCTATCTATCGATACAGATATATCTATATCTATATCTAGATACATATATCTAGATATATATCTAGATACACACACACAGGCATCAGCCTTCATTACTTTTGTATTTTTATATGTACTCACATACTCATAACCGCATCTCAACATAAGCCTTTGAACACAGATTATCCTGGGTAATTTTCAATTGAATCATAAAATTCCCAATAACCGGTAATCACCACTATCATTATTAGTATTTATAATGGATTGTGATCTCTTAGAAATACTTTATTAGAAAATTTTTTACAATGCCTTTGATATACAGCTAGCTTTTAAATAACTATTTACTTTTAAAAGGGATTAATTCACACAAAAATGGAACTCTCTGCTACTATTCTCTGGTGAGGAAATAAAGCCTCTTGCCAATCTAATTATTTAGTACTTGAAAAAAAACATTGTAAACATCACATTATGCTGTATGTCATTCAGGAGAATGTGCCTTTGTTCACCTCAGTGTG